AGAGAGAGAGAGAGAGAGAGAGAGAGAGAAAGGAGGAAAGAAAAGCATGGCAAACAACCTGCAAATGTGAGCCTTTACAAAGAGAAAACTCAGATCGCTTTGTCACGGTCCGCCAGATGTTAAGACGTGCTGTCATCCCACAGCTTCCTTTATTCTACTAAACACAAGATTCACAGGTATACAGGCAGTTACAGGGCCACCCAACTTGCCCACCCAGCTCTTCCTTTGTTCATCCTTAATCCCTTTATCAAGAGAGATCAAAGAGAGCTTCCTCGTCTTCTTCATTGAAGATCCACATTTCTTCATCTTTGGTGATTTCTTCCCCAACAAAGAAGGCTTCTCCAACTGGTTCTTCTTATACAAATGACCTGAATAACCCCCCTTATTTTGCAACACATCCCCTGAGCCATAACCCCAAGCATTTGTCTCTACTGCAGCGGCTCCACTGTCAGGCGACCAGATGCCACCATCCGTCGAAAGATGGGCGCCACGACTTGGCAGAAGATGACCAACTCTAGCCAACAGTGCATCAGAGCTGCCATCTTCTAATACTTCGACCGTGATTGGATGGCCTATGATAGCCTTGCCATTCAACCTGCTCATGAGAGAAACCAAGGGAACATGCTGTCCTTGATAGCTTGTTCGAACATTTAGATCAACATCAAAAAGAGGCATCGCATCAATTTCGTAGTTGGGCTCAGCTTTGCTTGCAAGAAATAATTTCTTATTCACTGTTTGAGTAATAGGTGTGCCTCTAATGAAGAAAGGGGACCTTTTCTCTGCTGCTTCTTTGGTCCTCAAACTATGCCTATAATGAAGGGACCCTTCTTCCAAAGTCGATCTATCGTTAGCTCTTCGCCAAGAATTATCTGAAGTGTGAAAATCTTCAAAGAAGCTATTTGGGGCTTTACAGAAAGATCCACCCTTGGCTTTTTTACCTTTCTTAGCTTTCTTACCTGAATGTCTCTTGTTTCTTTTCCTTTTGGACTGCCATTTTGAAGCTCCATTTTCTGCATTACGCTCCTTGTGACCAGATTGATTTGGAAAGATATAGCCCGTTTCATGATGGTCCTTGCCAAGTACATGCCTCCCAACCATGCCTGAACGATGCCTTCGTGATGTGCTCGAAATGAAAGTATGAGGGAAATCTGGCAAGTCAAGAAAACAAAATCAACATGAGAACATCCAGTAATTGGCAAAATGATGTTACAGTAGCTTTCAATAGTAAATCAAACTTCATATTACTTGAATAATGGGAAAAATGCTGTTTGTTTTGTTTTTTTTCAAGCATTAGATCACCTCGACCGAGTTACTCAAACTCGGACGAGTAACTCCCTCGGCCAATGTCCGAGTACCTTGGCCGAGTCGATTTCTTCACACTATTCCCGCACAATGTACACCTCTCATGGAAAAGGAATAGAAGCAAAAAGGTATGAAACTCAACACTATCT